TTAGTTAATTAATTAAATTTAAATTAATTTTTATTATTTTTTATATACACTAATTATAAAAAAAATATTTATTGTATTCTTATTTTGTGCCTTTGACACAAGATAGAAAATCCCTATAAAAAATAAAATATTAAAAAAACATTATGAAAGAGTCGAGAGAGGGGCATGATGGTCATTCAAAGCAGTGGAGATATTTTAAGAAATGATAATTAACTGAAAATCGGAAAGGGTAGAAAGGGAAAGACGGTGATCTGATAAATACTTAAATATTTGCTTGGTTTTCCGTTCATTAATCTCTAATCTTCGCTTAACATGACTTTCATTTCTAGAGATTTAGATCTGTTATTTTGTTCATTTAAAAAAATGGAGGTTACTTGCACATAGTTTTTAAAGATTAAGATTTGTCATTCTGAAAATGGAGGGAAATGGATCATCCATACAAACAATTTCTTACATCAAGAAAGATTATACTGAGAATGTTGAAACTCTGGCGTTTTTGTATGGAAGTTGTGAGTATTCTTCCTCAATGTCAATAAGCATGAAATCACTGCACTTGTAAATTTTCTTTTTTTATTTTTTATTTTTTGTGAGGAATCACTGTACTCGTAAATTTCTGTCTCAAGCTCTGTCATTTTCTTTGCGTTCTTAGGTCATCCAATTACAAAACCTAGAAGATACTGCTGGGCCAGCCTCCATTTTCATGGGCCCATCATAATCTAATAATCATGGATAAAAACATACTACTTGGATCTTTGTGATAAAGGCCAGTTCATGGGTTCTTTACAGGCCCTTTCATTTGTTATATGGGCCTTAATCTTGAAAAAAAAAGAAGAATTATTTGTCAGAAGCTCTTTCGAGTCTTCTGCGTTTCTTCCTCTCTAGTCTGTACTGTCTGGCTTTCTTTATGAAATTTCTTTTTCCTTGAAGGCAATTTGTGAAAGCGCTCTCTTTATGACATTCTTGGTGTTGAAATTTGACTTATTTATGATACGAATCAGAATGTGTTTATCACGGTAGTATAATTTCACGTCAATTTAAGAATATTGTACAACCCCCGGGCATGCCTGTGCTGAATTCTCATTTGGAAAATAGCGTACTTAGATTCTCTTCCCAAAAACAACAAAGTCAAAAAAATGTAAGAATTGTAGGGATCAATGATTTCACTTCGAGTCTTCAAACCTCTACTTGAAAGAAAACATCAATCTTGAAAATTATTTATAACAATAAATTTTAACAAAAAATACACATTGATTTTTAAAATAAATTGAAGTTTTAATTTTAAATTATTTTATTTTATTTAATTAAAATTTTAAAATCTATTCTATTAAATATTAATATTTAAATTTAAAATTAATTATATTAAAATATATAAACGGTTTCCAAATTTAAATATCATTTAATATATAAATGGTGTCATTTCACATTTCCGTTCATTAATATCTAAATCTTCGTTTAACATGATTTTCATTTTTAGAGATTTAGATCTGTCATTCTATTCATTTAAAAAAATGGAGATGCTAATTTCTCCTTTTGTATCTATTTAATGGAGTTTTGTCATTTAAAAAAATGTAAATCAAATTTTAAAAGATAAACTATACTCTTAATTTGTACTTTAAAGACCAAAAGTTAAAAAACTCATTGTAATAATTTATTGCATTATATACGTCTATAAATCTCATTAAACATCAGCTTATGTTCATCGAAATTGATCTTCATTTCTTCCCAGACAAGGTGGCTTCT